TGGAATTATTAAGAAAGCATGACGCAAATATAACGTTAGCGTTGACTGACACCTCGAATATGGGGAGATCTGCGCGCTGACACGGTGACCTGGCATGGGCAGAACAGGTAATTGGAATATAACGATGTTGTTTTCACAACAATAAGTTTCAGAAAAGATTCAATCTTATATACAGATACATCTTCTACTTTCTTTTGTAATGAAATACACTTTTCCAAGTAGTTTTATGATTATGTACAAATCTGCCTGAAACGGTCATCGACATCGGCAGAATGTGTACGCTTAAAGGCAGTCATCCGACGAGGACCACCAACAGCCGAATTCACGAGACATGAAGAACACCAAACAATTGTGATTTCAGCAATTCTCCTTCGAAAAGAAAAGATGGGAATGTAATTAGGCTGTTTTGAACCCGTTGATATATAAAATTTTCAAACTAAAACTTTTATCATTATTGGTTTAATTCGCATGGATGTCAACCTTGTAAATTCCTGCTGGTTAATAGTATCACGCGACGTTGACTGTTTGCGGTACACAAACTTGCTAACTTCACTTTACCCATGTTGTTTTGACACATTCCTACTGTCAAGATTGAAGAGTTCAGCATGATTTTACCCAAGTATGACATTTTAACCACAGAGTGATAAATGCGATGCAATTCTTCGTTATGTTTCCCGATACATGGTATTTATCAATTCACAACGTAACGTCCTGAAAAGTTGGGCCTACTTTACTCGAGTTTATTTATCCGATTATATAGTATAATATGACTTAAACTCGCAACTTTTTGTAATTGTTAAATTGGCAATGCAATCAGGGATTATTCAACGAAATTTAGCAGTTTTATTGCTGTGAGCTTATTTTAAAACATTTCTGAAAATCCTCGAAATATTTACAAGAAATGGTCGCGACCAAGGACTGGTTTTGGATTGTTCTTGAGTATCGTGTACGCCCCTTACTTGACACTTCATTTTTTCCTTAAAAAAGTGGGCGCTATACGCAAATATTATCGGTAGTCGTTGGTCAGACATAAAATATCTAAATCAGCCAATTGCAATTTATAATACGACAGTTTACCCCTTCGGGAACCTCAAAGGTGCCTGATTCATACTCGGAACATCTTTAGGTTATATGTAATTCCTGTGGGAAATTTGGAATGCCTTCAGGTTTTATGCTATTCCTGTTTAAAAAGGAAATTGATATCTGAGTTATCCAAGAGCTTGTTATTAGTGCCTGCAACAGAGGTCAAAATCTGGGGCTGAAACCAAAATTTATAGTCCCCACTGGGGTTCCCCAAGGGGTGACTAAAAATAAACAAGAGGCCCCATTGGCCTTAACAGTCACCTGATTTATGTAAAAACTGATGTTATCGAAGGTGCCAAATGAAAAAGAACTCATTTTGTAACAAAGGTAACTTAAACTACATGTAATGCAAAAGTAGTGTGAAAGATGTACTATGTACAAATAGTGGTTCTGTTAGTCAGTTGAATTTTGGTAAAGCACCTTAAGACCCTCCCATCTATGAAGAGTATTTGATTCTACCATATCTTGATCTTGAGAAGAAGATTTTTGAAATTTTAGTCAATTTTACCCTTTTTGGCCCCACCGTTCAGACCCCTGGCGACCATATAATTCACAATTAAACTATAGTAAAGTTTACCCCCTCCCCAGGGGGAAACGTGAGTCCCCAGGGTCATAGAATTCACAATTTCGGTAAAGCACCTTAAGACCCTTTAATCTATGAAGAGTATTTGATTCATATATCTGGATCTTGAGAAGATTTTTGAAATTTTAGTCAATTTGACCCTTTCTGGCTCCGCCCCTCAGGCCCCTGGGGGTCAGTCAGCACTGATTTGTGCATATCATCAAACTGCTATCCAATACTGATAATGCTAGCCAAGTTTGAATTAAAACAAATGTTGGTCCATAATGTGATTTCCCTATATAAACTATAGTAAAGTTTATCCCCTCCCCAGGGGGAAATGTGAGACCCAGGGTCATGAAATTCACTGTTTTAGTAAAGCACCTTAAGACCCTTCCACCTATGAAGAGTATTTGATTCTACCATATCTGGATCTTGAGGAGAAGATTTTTGAAATTTCAGTCAATTCAACCCTTTTTGGCCCCGCCCCTCAGGCCCATGGAGGCTGGGGACCATATAATTCACAATTTTGATTGACCTTTGGCCATGGAAAATTTCATTGAAATGGGTTCAGGGTTTTTGGAGAAGAAGTCGAAAATGTAACGGACGCACGCCTGACGACGCTGGACAAAAGGCGATCGCAATAGGTCACTTGAGACTTTGTTTCAGGTGACCTAAAATCATTGATTTCACAGTACAGTTTATATAATTAAATTCTTCTATCCCTTTGTGTAGTCCAAGATTTTCATCAATCATACACAGTAATGTTATGGATGTTATTGCTCCGTGACACATTGACACGAAGTAACATAAGACTCCTACTGTGATTTTTGCTTTCTCTATTCATGATCAGGTATACAAATAGGTGTCGCATACTCTGACATTTCAATACACGACTCTGGTTATAATTGCCTAGCTAGTAAATAATGGTACAGGTCCTGAATAATTAATCAGGTGAACAATCTAAGTTTGATACCAGTATAAGTATACACTGATTAACATATCATTATAGTATAACTATTCTGTGCGTACACATGTAGAATAATTAATTACAAGCATGCAGCACTGTAAACAGCTAATTATACCTGTATCATACTGAATAGAGAATACAATACCTTGAGAAATTTTCTCTGGGAGGTGATCTACAGTGTCAGTGATTTTTCTACTTCCTTTCCACAGGGGCCTGTGCCTGTTGATTTTGGAAAATATCGTCCACAAAAAAATGTGATTTTGGGAAATAAAGTGATTTTTGCATTGATTTTGGGGAAAAACAGCAGAAATTATCTTGAGGAAGGGGCCTTTATAAGGCCCCAAATTAACCCTTAAAAAAAATCACTGAGTATATATGTATATAGTATTGATTCTGTGAAATGCATGTTATTTCTTGCAGCAACAGGTATCAACCACTATTTTTTTCTGCCTTAGTTTTACAAAAGCCTTTTTTTTAATTGGGAAAATAAGACATAATTTTGTTAATCTGTATTCAGTTGTAAAACTGGGTAAAAACATCAATGTAGCTTCTCTGAACTGATACATGCACATGACAACAAACACGCAGGGCTGTAAATAGATAATTATACACCTGTAGCTATCGTATATCATCATACTGTACCGAGTAGACCTAGAGAAATTTTCTCCAGGGTGTGATCCAAAGTATTGATTATGTGAAAGTTTTATGTTGCTTCCACAGATATCAACCAACGTTTTTTCTTCCTTAACTTTACAAGATGCTGCACTGCTCTTACATTGGGAATGGGAAAAATATCATAGTTTGAGGGGATATATGGGATTCCGCACGTACGTACACATGTTACACTCTTTGTCATCCCTGCAGTAGCAACTTCATTCCTCAACAGAATTGTAATGAAACTTCATACAAGTGTTTAGTATGACAATACCTTGAACAGGTTTGCAATTCAGATTTCTACTTTGAAGTCAAGGTCACTGTTACTATTTTTAGAAAAAACTCATCACTCTAACCACTTTATTACTGCAAAATTTCATGAAACTTGATTCAAGTGTTTGGTATGACAATACCTTGAACAAGTTCGCATTTTTGGTTACTGGCAATACTGCGTTAAAGGTCAAGGTCATTTTAACTAACTTTACGTAAAACTTTGTCATCGCTCTACCTACTTCATTCCTCAACGGAATTTCATGAAACTTCATAGAAGTGTTTGGTATGACGATGCCTTCAACCAATTCTCGTTTTGGGTTTCTACCTTGAAGGTCAAGGTCACTGTTACTATTTTTAGAAAAAACTTTGTCATCACTTTAGCCACTTCATTTTTCCTTTTCATATGTCACAATGTGTGAATGCGAAGGGATTTGTATCACTTGTGATGCCTTGTTTTTATTGAAATTGGAAAGATATTACTTTTTCTTCGTTTTAGAAAAATAAAGCATATTTTTGCTAGGGGTAGCAGTCTGTATTCAGCTGTAAAACTAGCAAACAAAAAACCCACTGTAAACACATAGTAATTGCTATGTACTATGATACTCTTAAATTGATCACTGAAATTGAAAACCGTTCATGTCATGAATGGAAGTACAATTTACTAGGAATATACTGATTTCACATAGGTGAGACCTTGAAAAATCAAAGAGTAAGAAAGGTATATATGTATTTCACTTCCCAAAGGCAAGTAGTTGAACTGCCACCTTTACCAGCACACTTGGGTTTAAATGCTGGCCTCATGGCTGACCAGAGTCCTTTACAGTTAATAAATTCTCTGTTCAAGATGAAACCAAGATAAAACTTTTGATTTCATGCAATATTTGATATGATATAGTAATGGCTTGGCTGTGTAAAGGTAAAATGTATTATTTTACTGGTCTCCTTATTTGTTTGGGGCTTAAGTTAAGTTAACTCTTAACATCCCTCACAATAGCCAGGGTCATATATATATGAAGATGAGTGGCTAGCAGATATGAAAGAAAGAAAATAGATAGGAAAGATGGGAAACGAAATAGAAGTGTTGCTATGGGGCAGCAGATTGAATTTTGGTTTCTTCAATGTCCTTTTAGCATGCCCTAACGTTACAACAGTCACCTTTTAGCATGCCCTAACAACAGTCACCTTTTAGCATGCCCTAACAACAGTCACCTTTTAGCATGCCCTAACAACAATCACCTTTTAGTATGCCCTAACAACAGTCACCTTTTAGTATATATGCCCTAAAAACATTAGTCACATCTTAGTTATATATGCAGTGGGAAGCAGCAGGCCTATATAACCCCCAAACCTGCACATGGTGACCTTTGTAGAATGAATAATGTCCTCAGCATATATTCATTGTACACAGTCATCGTCTCAAAACACACATTGTGCGGTCAAACAACAATAAGATTTACTCACTTGAGAGCTGTCCATTGTTTTTGAGTAGCCAGGTCCCTGTGGGTACCTCTCCTCCACTCGAGTGTCGAGACATGCTGCACCCTACAGCAGTTCACAGTTGGCCTACATAAGGGTCTTCATTATTGTGTCTTCAAGCTGGAAAAAAATAAGATGTGGAGATCATGACACTATGCATCGTGATACTATAGCTAGTGCTCAATGAGATCTAATTGACTTTCATATATTTGAACATACCCCAATATCATGGCCCCAAAAGGACATCTTACCAGTTATGGTATGATAGTTCTTTCTGTGTTTGTACCCATTTTATCGCTGTCCTTTAAAGGGACAATTTAGTGAAGTAAGTTTTTTTTATAAACTTGCAACAACATTTCTCATGATGATATAGTTTGACTCATTATGCAAGATTCATGTCAAAAGTAAAAACAATTGACAAGAGACAATGTTTTCTTTGCGTTATGAAGCAGTAATGATTACTAATGAAGAATCCTTAACTGTACAACTACTTGATTTCCTTTGCTTGCAAGTATTAACTTTGACTCAAGACACCAGTTTGTCATCTCTGTAACCACTCCTACATGTAATGGCAAGACCTGATCTTTTAGAATTTTTACATCTTGATGTGTTATTTTCCCCTAAAGTCATATTCTATGACCAGGTCTTAACAATATCCACTTTTACCATACGTTTAAATCATTAGCAAATATTGTGTCGCTAAATAAAGTGGAGGTATTTAAATCGGCTCTCCTCCGTGACTAGGAAATGCGCGATGTCTCTCTCTACCTAGTTCATCAAGCCTGTATTGGTATCTGCACCGTATGTATCCAGAGCCTTAGCAATTTGTCAGTCCGATCCAGTAAATCACTTTGCTGGTTTTTACTGTAGGTGAAGTCCTGGACGTCTCTCCATCCACCCACAGGCGGAGTTTGTTACAAATGTCTGAAATACACATATTCTATACTGATATGGGTCACATATCAGTATAGTACATGTATGTTTCAGACATTAACGTTAACGAACCCCTGTGATCCAACGGTCCACTGTTCAGGTGTTGACGTTTATCATTATAATTTTGCGTCATCTGCGAATTGCTTGATCACAGATTAGTCGGTCAATAACAGCCGATTTGTAATTAATGTAAACATACGTAAAATCCTACGATTTAGCCAATAACAATGTTAATTAAGTCAATCCATATTTGCTCATGACAATGATCGAAAGCAACAGTAACTAAGCTATCATTTTATTTTCAGATTATATAATATTCAGCGAATCTCGATCTGTCACTGTTTTAGCGTTTGACAGGTCGTGTAACACGCTGTAGAAATGGTTTAGAATTTCGAATATAATTCCTCAAATAATTCAGGCATTGCAAATAAAATCGCTTATGAGCAATAATAATGATAAAAACATATTTAGATGCATTATTTTACCTGGACTGGTTTTCTTCATCAATGATTTCACACGAATTAGCTAGAACAGCTTTACCGGAAGTCATACAGTGAGCGCCCTCGATTGGAAGAGTTATTTCCCCTGGATTCTTCCAACTTCCAATTTATTAGACTTGTATATGTCCGAACTGTATGTTTTACTGTTCAACCATTATACCCGAGTTTAAAAAATTCTCATATACAAAGGATGTCTCCATATTTCAATGGTGAAAAGAAACTCTTCAAATGCTCTCTAATGTTCCTGACTCCTTAATTAGTTGTAGTTCTTTTTTTTATCTTCAAACCGGTCATCTAGCCGACTGGAGTTTTCATTTTTGTTTGCATGCTAAATTTGTTTGAACTTTGTGATATCCTCTATGACTAAATATTTTAAGTTAATTGCCATGGGTTTTATATCAGTGTTAATGCAATACACCTTTTAAACAGCTGCTTGTCATTGAATGTTGCTTTTATTGTGTTGCTTATTCTTATTTATTTTGTGTTCCCTTTTAAGTCCATTTAAAATGACTGCATACTTATTTTATAATTTGGTGTTTTAGGGCTAGTTAGGTAGGGATTGGCCCAACCACCTGTCCTGTGACACCCCACACTTATATCATTTAATCTTTTAGTGCAGTAGCCTGTATATATTATTATATTAACATTAACTGATGAATAGACGACGATGTGGGGTTGGGTTGCTAAGGAAATCCGCCATTTTGAATCTGGTTGCTAAGGCTAGCAACCATCTTGGATTCAAAGTGGCGGGTTTCCTTAGCATCCCCCGACCCTGCGGCCCACATCTTCGTCACTTCATCATGTTTGTTTTGATTGTGACGTCATCATTTTTGAGGTACTGACAGGATTATCGCCCCTGTATATGTAATATGTTTTACGGCCCTGCCGTTAGTGAGGGCGGAGCCAGGTTGTACTGTAAATGTTTCGGAATATCGGAACTGTAAACTTTCAAGCATTGAGTGATGTGTTGAATGACTAAATCAGACCTACATGTATAGCTAAACAGTGTATATTACAGTTAAGTTTCCTTTCTTGATTTCTTTTTGGCTGACAAGATGTTTGATATCTTGAAGTTTTCCGCCTAGGCGTATGATGACATGACATTAATGTGAGAATGCGAAAGGTTCATTAGACTCTATATAAGTATTTAAATTTGCACCTCTTGAATCCATTGCAAAAATCAAGTGCAGCATATTCTACAAAGACATTGAAATAAAACATATTAGGATGGATATTGTT